GTCCATCTTAATGACATTATTTAAAACTACCATGGTCATCACAAAAGGAAGTAGGGAGTGTCTGAGTCAGAGGCTTTATATTTCACAGTCGTGCATGGAACTCTTTCAGACTCACCCAACCAGCTGCTAACTTCCTCTATGAAGAGAGTAAGGTAAATATTTCTGAAGCCCATAACTTAAAAGTCTTTGCAGACACTGTTGAGTGAGAGAGAGGCGAAAGAGAGCCGTGAATGAATCATGCTCCTTCTCTGTATCTGAGAGTCTAAACTCATCTAATAATATCCAAATTGTTGCCTGGTCATGTTCTCAACTTCTCTATCTCATGGCTTTGTCTATGGCTGACTTTCTGTGGTGTCCTGGGAGCACGGTGTGCAGGGGATCAGGCCAGCTGAACACTTCATGTTCCACTCTTCGAATGATAAATAGTATTTTGGGAATTCTGTACAAAGCTAGACTCTATATTTCCAATGTTCTTACTTAAGGCATTGTAGGTTGAAATATACTCATTTTTGAGATTAGAATTGAACTCTGTTTTAATTGCATAGCAAAGTGCACATCTGATTAGGGATTCATCAATATTTGAAACCACATTTTTAATATAAATGGAAAGATTAGAAAATATTTGTGTAAAGGAGTAACTCTATTTATAGCACTTAACTTATATGGTAATGATAAAAATTAAACATGCTAAATAGTAATTATTCATTTTTTCTCCAATCTGTGTATTTGGTTTGGTAAATACAGGAGTTTTATTCTCTTAGTAATATTCCATGAAATATGATTGCTTTTCCTTTTACAGACAAAATTATTCTAAGATTAGATAATATTTTGATCAAACATTTAAGGCACATAATTGATCAATTAAGTATAGTAAGCTTGGGTACATGAAATATTATCATTGTAAGTCCATGTTTTATTGAATGTTGTTTGTCTCTGTTTTTTCTTATGCTATATTTAACAATTACTTTTCTTTCTTTTTATTAGATTTTTAAAAATGCTTTAGTGAGTACATATTTATTCTTTTGTGTTGACAATAGGAAGAAAGGGATAAAGCATTTCTTGGATTGAAACATATCATAAGTAAGCAAATAGGCTTCAGGCTTTGGTGGACTTCTAGGTCCTCAAGTCTGATGTTTGGGATTGAAAACATGAGTTGTATTAGCTTGAAAATTATAAATTAACTACATATCAATATATTAAGCTAAATTATTTATGTAAGGAACATAAGAATACGGTATACTTGCAGTAAAATATAAAGTTAATAAAAAGTCAAGTTCTTACCATATGAAAATAATTTTCCTTCATTCCTATGTCCTGACAACGGCATATGATGTAGTATCATATGATATCTTTTCTGTAGCTTAACATTATTTAGTTTTCTTTTCACTTTCCTTTAGTTATTTAACTAGGACCCAAGTCATTAGGTACTTGTTGATGGCTTGTTGAATTTTGCTGTTTTGTTTTTTCTTCAAAGAGTTGGTGTGAAAAGAAATTATAAAAGAAAGAAAAAATCAGTTTTGGCACCATGTTAACATTTATTATCTGTTCCCTGATGGAAACCTAGGTGTAAAACAATTAAGTCAGCCTTGAATATAGTTCTCTGTTTGCCAGCAAGATTCCAACTTTATGTCAGATGAGAAGAAAAGTATCTTGCTTTTATTTCTGGAACCTACAGTGAACCAAATAAAGCTTATCACATCAACTATATGACATGAAACATACTTTTTGGTATTTATTTTCAACATGTATGCACAAGATTGCTTAAAGATGTATTATCTAGTGCCACTTATCATTTTAAAAGCCATTGCTTGAGAATTGATAAGGGTCTAGAAATGTCTTGGTTCATATGTCTCTGTAATGATTATGTTTCTAGTATCGTTTCTTTGCCATAAAACTTACCTAAGTGATTTAAAAAAATGTACTTGATACCCGAATCCACATATTTCTGTGTAGTTTCTTTTCTGTTGTGTATGTTTTGTGAAAAGTTACCAGAATGACTAAAAGGTTAGAAACTGAAAATTTGTGATTATTGCTTAGAAAGTAATTTAAAGAATGATTTGAAAGAGTTTTTTTTTTCGCCCCAGAAGGTAAAATAGTAAAACATAAATTTGTAAAGAAACAAGATAAGTTGGAGCCTGAGCAAAGAAAAATGTACTGGAAAATGTGTTTTTGTGCTTTGGAATATGGTAGTACCAAGTAGCTTCCAGACCGCATTGGACCAAGCAGTCAGGTTCCCTAACAGGGTCATTTAAAAATCTTTCAGGTCTTATTTTAAAGATGCTAGTCTATATTATACCAAATATATTAAAATATACCCACAATTCTCTCTTAAATATAATTTTCACTGTAAATAGTTTAAAAGGATTATTATGACTTTGCATTGAATGTTAGTTTCCTAAGAGTCATTTATTTCATACTAGAGACCTGGTGCATGAAAATTTGTGCGCTGGCGGAGTCCCTCAGTTCAGCTTGCCCCCTTTCACAGTCTGGGAGCCCTCAGGTAATGTCCTACTGTCCCTGTGGGGAGCAGGCCTAAGCCACAGTCTGGTCTCCCTCTGTGGAGGCAACCGGCTGATCAGGGAAGGCGCTGCCTCCAACACCCTGCTGCTCCTGCCACTGCCAGCCATGGCTGCTTCAAGGCCTGAGCCTTGGGCGTCGCTGCCACCGGGACTCAAGACTGCTTGAGCCCACGGCTGCCTGAGCCCTGGTCCTCACACCCGCTGTGGCTTTGTCCGGATGGACATCCGAATGGAAGTCCAGAAGACACCTGCCCTAATTAGCATATTACCCTTTTATTAGTATAGATACTATGATTTTCAGCAAGCAACATGAAGTCTTAGAAATTGTTTCAAGATAATCTAGCTCAGAATTTCTCCCCAAAATTAAAGAAATTTTTATGACTGTTAAACAATATAAAAATCAACTTATGCTTCAAATTAGTGTATTTACTTCTATGCTCATTAATTTTAATTTTACCATTTTTCATATTTTAGAAACAATACTTATATTTCAGATATAAAATATGATTTTGAGTACCTGAAAAGTTTGGGGACTTTAGACACTATCAATATTGCTCACTGGGTTCAATGTGAAATTAGTTAAATATTTTTCAGGGAGCTATTAAAAGAACATAGGTGTTCTTTCTTAGAGTAAAATTTGTGTGGAGTGTGATTTTCTCACCCTGTATTCCTGGGGTTATAATTATAGAGCAGGACTTACCTGGAATTGACAGGTGCTGAATTTGACCTTGAAAGACAGTCTCATTTATGACCTTGTGCCTTGGTGATGTCTCAGGGCTTGAAATTCCAATGGGCAGAATATGGGGTTCTCAAACACACTGGAAATCTCCAATTTGTTGGTTTTCAGGACAGAACAGATTGTTAGCATTTACTAGAGAATAAGGAATGTAGCAGCTTTCATCTATAGTGAGTCAGGCATTTTATAGAGATGTTTCTCAATTTTATTTTTAAACTCAAGCTCCTATTTGTTAAAATAGAAATTGAAAACTTATGTTAATGTCATTTTTAATTTTAAAAGGCATTACATTTTTGTGGCTTCAACAAAGTCAGTTAGGTGATAATTTTAGAATATTCTTCTTTCAAACAACTTGTATGTCCCTCCTTCTGACCTTCTTTTGTTTCCACCCCATTCCCTGTCCCTTCGCTCCAAATGCCCTGATGTTATGGTGTGGTCCTCTTATAGGTGTAAACGTAGAAGAACACATGTTTTTCTGTCCTGTCAATTGATCATCTCATTGAATATGATGAAACTGAAAAGCTCAGAGAGGTTAAAGACTTGACCCAGGTCACATAACTATTAGCAACATTGTTGGAATTAGGACTGAGTCCCTTAAGGGTCCCCGTCTCTTGGGAACTGCCACACCATCAGATGTGATGCCACAGAATATACAGGAGGAATAATGAAAGTATTCATGTTAATTCATATAGTCTGGGACAACTTCTACTGTGGCGATGGAGAAAGTATGTAAAGAAATACCAAAACAGTTTCCTGAAGAAGTCCATTGTGGGGACAGTAACAACATTATCAAGAATTCAGATAATGCCATTTTCATTCTGGATTCTACATTTGCTATTATACCTTAGGTTCTCTAGTAAGAGATAGAACTCTGTGTTGGAAAGTCTTATGAATGTTTGTGATACATAAAATGGTAATTACATTTCCATTCCCAAAATAAGCAGAAAATAATAAATACACTTATAGGACAGAGGATGCATAATATTTGAATTAGGATGGTCCTAAAGAAAGTTAGGATGTATGATTATTCTAAGAATGTGTATGCAGACCATGATGGAGGCAATGGGTAGGGAAATTCTGTTAAATCTCTAGGACTATAGCCCCTTTAATAGACTGTCTAATGTTGTATTATTTATTTTACTGCAAACAGCTTAGAAACCTGGGGTGATTTTAGAATAGGCCCATGAATGTGTCTGCTTAGGACTTTAAAATGCGGGGGCGGGGGCAGTTGAGTGGGAATGATGGACGGGGCAATAGGGGGACAAATGGTGATGGATGGAGACTTGACTTGGGGTGGTGAACACACAATACAGTGTACAGATGATGTGTTGTAAAACTGTGCACCTGAAACTTGTATAATATTGTTAACCAGTGTCACCTCAATAAATTCAATAAAATTGAAAATATCAGAGGCCACTGGATAGAAATGCCACATCAAGGAGAAATAGGAATATGTCCTAGATAAGAATATGAGACTATGGGCAGAAGTACAGAAGCATTGCACTAGAGAATATCAATGTGAAAAAAAAGAGTGTTACATAATATGGTTGCCAGAAGAGAGGGTTTTAGTGTTGGCAGTAAGAATACTGGACCAAAGGAACTTTTTTTTGTTGTTGTTCTAAGTTATTTGATAGTTACATCCAAAGCTGAAGAAATGAAGCTTTTAAAAAGTAAAAGAATATACAACCCATTATATTCACAAAAAATACACTTGGAACTCATTTTGTTTCCTTATTCTCCTCCAGGCGACACTCCATTTCATGATGGCCTCCCTTGCTGCAGTAAATGCAGAATTTTGCTTCAATCTATTCCGAGAGATGGATAACAACCAAGGAAGTGGAAATGTCTTCATTTCCTCTCTGAGCATCTTCACTGCCCTGGCCGTGGTCCGCTTGGGTGCACGAGGTGACGGTGCTGCTCAGATGGATAAGGTCAGTCTCAGTTGTGGTTTCTGCAATGAATCTTTAGGGCAACTTGTCCTCTCCCCAACCCCCCAAATATTTGATTGCAATGGTCCCAGCTAAGTGAGGACATATCAATGAGCCTCTCTCCAGGTGTGAGGAATGCACACAGCTCGCAGCCCTTGTTTGTCAGCTGGGAGATAGCAAGAATGCTTCCAAAACTGCAGTGTTGGTTTTTTGTTATTGTTGTTGTTGTTTTGTTTTTATCTTAGAACATGTTCTCAAAGTGTGTTTCCCAGCCCAGTGGTGTCACTTAGAGGACTTGTTAGAAATGAAAATGCCACTGAAGTAGAAACCATGGGGATGGATCCCAGCAGTCTGTGTTAAACAAGCTCCCTAGGTGCACACAAAAGTTTGGGAACCACTGCTTGAGTAGATATGGGTGAGAAAGAAAAGCTCTAAGGAGATAGCAATGAAGTCCTAGTTGAAATGCTAGTCACCTGGGCACAAAGAACATAATAGGGCATTCCAGGTAATAACAGCCTCCCTGAATGGTCATCACATTGTCACTACCACCTTTAGAAAGTGCTTATTAACTCACTCTCGTATGCTGCCCTGAGCCAGGCTGCACAGGGAAGTGACATGGTCATGGTTTCCCACACTTTGTCAATGAAATTTAGTAGCAGGAGAGACACCAGGCTACATGTGGAAGCCATTGTCACGCCTTTCATTCACCAGTTCCTCCCATTATGGCATCCATCTATATGTCTCTTCTAAGTACTACCATGGACCAAAGTCTTTTTTCTTTTGATGTTCAAGTGGTCACAGTTGGGCCAATACAAATCCCTTTAAACTATTTTTTAAATAAGTTCTTCCAGATGATTCTGAAATATCTTTGCTTACTGACAACGAGATTTTCTGGACCTGCCTTTAATTTTCTTGGCTCAAAGAAAGGCCAGCTAATCTCTGCAAAGCTTGGTCCTTTTACTAGATAATAGTATTAAAGCCCAGAATCGGTCTAAGTGAGGTTTCATGGAGTTAAGGTGGCCTGGAAGCTGCTTGCCATTGAGTGAAAGAACCAAAAAAAGTATATTGATTTACAAGGTCATGTGTTCAGTTTCATATTCTTTTATTTAGCTATAATATAACTGTATTTTCTTTTAAAAATATATTTTATTGATTTTTTTTTACAGAGAAGAAGGGAGAGGGATAGAGAGTTAGAAACATCAATGAGAGAGAAACATCGATCAGCTGCCTCCTGCACACCCCCTACTGGGGATGTGCCTGCAACCAAGGTACATGCCCTTGACCTGAATCAAACCTGGGACCCTTCAGTCTCCAGGCTGACGCTCTATCCACTGAGCCAAAACCGGTTAGGGCATAACTGTATTTTCTTGTTTTAATGTAAAAAAAATCTATTTCCTTTTTTTGGAGCTTCTTGCCCCTCTCATCTCTCATATAACATTTCCATTGAGGTATAGTAGATCATAACTTTTTATCCTAAATCATGTCTTCATATTACAATATCATTTAAAAGTTATACAAATTTAAATTTTCTAAAACACAATTGTGTTTTACCAAAAACATTATAAAAATAATTACTATAATATATTCTTTAGCCTACCACTTCTGTGGGAAGATATAATAGTTTTGTAATTTGGCATGAAAATACAGGTAGAAGTCATTGGGATACAGGTAACTCATAGTATCTTTTTTTTTTTTTACCTTCAATCCTAATATCCTGAAATCTCTTACATTGTATAGGTTCATAATTTTCCTTTTTGCCATCATCTGAGCATATTTGTTACCAGTTATTTTAAAAAAGAAACTCTGATTTTCTTAAATAGGGACACTAGAGTATTTGAAAATATAGGACTCTTAGCATTTCAAATTATGGTAAATATGCCCTTTGAAATTTTATTTAATATTGAACACATTTAAGTAATGTTAGTATTATTATTCATCTTTAGCTATAGTGGTTTTATTATTGGACCTGTAATTTCTTAAAATTCTGAAAAATATGGAAACAGATATGTACTGCCTTAATATCATATCAGTCTACTTTACTAAAAACGAATTATAAACGTCAGAAAAAACAACCAAATTAGTCTCAAAGTGGAGTAAAATCCTATATAATAAAAGGGTAATATGCAAATTGACCCTAACAGCAGAACGATTGGGAATGACTGGTCACTATGACACACACTGACCACCAGGGGCAGACACTCAATGCAGGAGCAGCCCCTGGTGGTCAGTGCACTCCCACAGGGGGAGCTCTGCTCAGCCACAAGCCAGGCTGATGGCTGCCAGTATAGCGGTGGTGGTGGGAGCCTCGCCTGCCTCCTCAGCAGTGCTAAGGATGTCCAACTTCAGCTTAGGCCTGCTCCCCGCTGGCAAGTGGACATCCCCCGAGGGTTCCCAGGCTGCCAAAGGGATGTCTGACTGCCAGCTTAGGCCCAATTCCCTGGGGAGTGGGCCTAAGCCAGCAGGTAGTCATCCCCAGAGGGGTCCTAGACTGTGAGAGGGCACAGGGCAGGCTGAGGGACCCCCCCCGAGTGCACAAATTTTTGTGCACCGGGCCACTAGTTAGAAATAATTAAAGAATAATATTAAATATTGGTGCTATTAGAGTTTTTCTCAAAAGTAAAGAAGAATAATTTCTGGAGATTCATATACTTTTTATATTGTCTAGGTCCCACAAAGTTAGCTCAGAAAAGATATTGGGGTCATTGAGTCTTGACACTTTATGATGTTCTTTTATTTTTCTAGTACATTCATTTACTTCCATTTGCCAATCTATGCAATAATGATGTTAGGACCTTTCTTTTCTTCTTCTTATTTTTTTTTTTTAAAGAAAACTACAGAACATTTAAAAAAGTTAGTCTGACTTTAGGAAGAATTTTGGCCAAAAAGTAAGAGCTTTTATTTCTCCTTGCTAGGCTTCACATTAATTACTAGGTTCTTTTCATGATGGAGTGAGTAAAATGTTTAAAACTGAGGGACAGACATCATTCAAAAGGTTTTTCCACAAAGGCATTTATATTTTCCTCACGATTACACATTAATAACTATGACTTCAAGTGCTTTCTCCCCCTCCTGTTGCTTAAGTATTTCTCCTTAAGCTGTTTTGAACCTCCCATCCCAGACCACCTCTTAGGGAGGAAAGGCACATAAGGGACCAGCTAAGTTCAAGCTTGGGGGACACACTGGCTATTGCTTCTCTCCCTCTCCATCCTATGCTGAGGTGATTTATGGTGATAGCTTCTCTTTGCAACCTTTTTGTTTTCATTTTGGGGACACTGACAGGTAAACTTCATCCACTTTCTTATATAAATGTTACATTGCAGAATGAAAAAAATGATAATGACATAATCCAACTTATAAAGACTCATGCTTTTATTTCCTCTCCTTGTAACAAAAAATTAAATGATTCCATGGAAATGGAAGGTCTTCATTGAACCATCTTCTCTTAGACAAGTTACTAGCTCCATGTTCACCAATGGAGGAGTCATAATCACAATGAAGTTGACCCAAAAGTTGTGAAACAGAATTGTTTAAGGACCTTCACAACTCTTATCACTTGGAAAGAGATAACTGTAATATTCTTTAATTTTTTAAAAAATTAAATTCTTTATTGTTGAAAAGATTACATATATCTCCTTTTCCCCCCATTGACCTCTCCCCAGCTGTTCCTGCCCCTCAGCACATGCCCTCGCCCACCTACTGTCTGTGTCCATTGGTTATGCTTATATGCTTACATACAAGTCCTTTGGTTGATCTCTTACCACACCCCCTCCCTCCCCACAGTATACTTTAAGGCACTGAAAATCTTTGTGTTTGGCCAAAGCAAAATGAGAAAGGGGGCTGATGTTCTTCATGCTCTATAACATCATAGAATTAGAGGGAAAAATGACACTCAGACTGCAAAGATCTCACTTGTGAATTATAAATTGACTACTAATTTGTATAAATCTGCCTTGTTGATTTTACCTTATTTCTCATTCCATCTCATATTATTATTCAAGATTAGTAATGAGTCTCTCTCTCTCTCTCTCTCTCTCTCTCTCTCTCTCTCTCTCTCTCACACACACACACACACACACACTACCAATGAAGTCTCCATACCTTATTTTATTTCCCCAGGTTCCTTCTTGTTCAGCCTGACTTGCTGTTTTCCTTGTCCCTGTTTGCAGGTACTTCACACCAATACCATGTCAGGACATGGAAACTCTCCTAATACTCAGGTAAAGACAATGTTTTCTTCTAGGAAAACATACTCTAAATCTAAGTTTAGAAAAATTCCTGTCTCACTGACACATTTAATTATGCTCCCTGTCCTTTTAAGCAAAAGAACATGTTTCACTCAGATTTCCATATTGTGAATATTTCAAATATGATTTTTTAAATAATATCTTTGTTGATTATTAATTTACCAATATGTTTTACTTGTGTATTGGCCAGATTTGGGCAAGGAAGTGTGGAACTAAATGTGTTACTTTTATCTTTGATATTCACAGCCAACTTACATTGGTAAAATGAATTATTAAGTGAACATAGTAGGCAAATTCATTATCTTCTGTTAATAATTTTATTCTAAGGTTAATCATTTACTTTAGTAAATCCTTTAATTCACTTTAATCACAGACACTACTGTGAGAAAGGGTAAGAAATTGTAGGTTTATATGGCATTATTTGATGCTTTTATAGTGCCATTATTTTTCAATTATTTTATTGTACAATATACATGGTTTATATCCTAAAGAGTATGCATATCTTTTCAGTCCAATACTACATTTTAATTAATCTTTTAAATAACAGCCAGGACTCCAATTTCAACTGAAAAGAATTCTCTCTGATATAAACACATTCCACAAGGAATACGAACTCAGCATTGCCAGTGGTCTTTTTGCAGAAAAAATGTTTGACTTTCATGAGGTAAGTTCAGCCTCCTGTCTTAGAAGGCTATTTTCATTCTGGATCTGCGTCTTATTCAATCCAGCATCTGAATAAAAGCTTGCATCTTTCTACTCAGCCATACAAAGGTGTTTTCTTTCTTGCCACTACTAATTATGTTCCCAGGTGTATTCAAAATATCATCACCTGCTTTCAAAGTACAACTTTACTTCACACGAGTGATCCACATATTCAGGGTCACTAGATGGACAGGCTCCCAAACCAAAGAGAACATGTCCCTTGGATGTGATGTGGACCTGTCATTGGGGTGGGAAAACAGAGAGCCTACTTAGGGTTGTCCTTGGGCAGCAGGGGAAAAGTCTGTCATTTTTCCCTCTGGGCTTTGCGTCTACTGGCATAGTTTTGCATCTCCAGTGTTGAATTCACCTCCTTTTTTCTCAGCCATGCCTTTCATTTCTCCTTAAAGGACTGACTTACTTATCTTTTCAGTAAAATCATTTATAAAAAAGAGTTCCCGGTAGTAGAGATGAGACCAGCCATTGGCAGAGGAGCAGTTAAGACTTGACACAGAGGTGTGTGTGTGTGTGTGTGTGTGGGGGGGGGGGGTAGGTTTTCTTGAGGTCAGCAGACTAAACTTTAATATTACTATTTGGTGTCTGTATTATCAATTTATTCATCCTAGTATCTTCTCATCCAAATACCAATGAGATAAAAATTCACTCTATATATTTCTATGCTCAGCCCCTAGAACCATCATTGCTGTGACACCCAGAAGCTGGTTAGTGCTATTCAAGCAGACACAGTGGCCATGTTTCTCTGGGCATGTTTGTTCTCCCTTTTAATTTTCTAGTTCTGAGACAACTATAAAACTGCACCTCTGTGACAACTCCGGACTAATTCCTACTTGCATCTTCCCAGCACTCTGTGTTCCACCCAACCATTACTGTGTTCTCTGCTGTCACCCACTCACATTCTTTGCCCCTTTCCAGCACCACTCCCAAATCTTTTGCCAGCCTGCCAATTATGAAGCATTAGGCCATGCTGTTTTTCAATCTTATCCAAAGAATCCCAGACAAGTGTTCCAGAGGCCGCCCTGTATGTTCATCCCCACATTTTATGTCTCTATTCACACGCAAACTGCTGTGTCCCTGAAGGACTGCCAACTCTCTTCAATTGGAAGTTGACATGTCTATCATGCTACTATTTATAGTAGGCTCCCATGTTCCCTTTTCTGGCCCTCAGTGTGTGTATAGAGCAAGGCACCTAGAAGCACAATAAAGGTGAGAGCTGATCAAGAACTTGGAAAAATGGAGACATTGAAAGTCTGCTCATGATTTGGTAACATGAAGATGATGACATCGTGGCATTTATAGAGCAGTTGATTCTTACAAATCAAAAGCTATGCACTTGATCTTCATTAAATGTATAGGAAACTGAAGGTTAGCATGTAGAATTCACCCAGTTGGTTTTACTGCAACAAGGGCTCTTCCCACGACAACTTAATGACCATCGGATATTTTCAAAATCAAGAGATGAGTAACAGTCTAAGCATCATGATACCACAATGGAACTTTGAATGATGAAATCTATTTATTATTCAATTTTAAAAAGAGAGAAAACTCTTTTATTGGTCACAGAATGAGGAAATCTCAGTTACCCCTTCATTCATAGGAACGCACACAATAAAAAAATCTCTAATTCAACAATTCAACCAGGTGATTGCATCAACACAGACCACAGAGAAGAGTATCACCCAGGCCACTGATTGAAGAAGACAGTCCTTGATGGAACGAAGCAAGAACCATAGTCTATAAGAAGACAAGGAGAATCAGAGGAACTCTCTTTCCCAATCTGAAACCCTGCAGTACGATATGTAATCAAGGGCCCTCCCAAATAACTGAATCCCATATTAATTTTTTTAAAGGCATTTAAAGGTAGAATGAGGAGTGCCAGGTTAAGGGTCAGGTTTACCTGAGTCCTAACTCTGTCACTTTATTGCTTTTTGTCCTTCAATAATGTTGATATGTCTAAACCTCAGTTTTCTGGTTGATATAATGAAGGAATTATACTTAATAGTCTCTATGGCTCTCAACTCTCATGGTTGAGCTTGTAATTTTTAATCTACAATATGCATTGAAAATGGAAATCGTGCATAGTATTTTTGTGGCAGCTAAACTAAAGTGTTACTAATGTACCATCTTCATTCAATATGCAACAACCATTTCCTGAGCTCTGACAAAGTGAAAAGAATCATTCAAGATATAGAGAGGATGCAGAAATAACTACAGGATTCAATGTTGAGTTAACATTTAAAAATCAATAAATGTAATTCACTACATTGGGCGATTAAAGGAGAAAGAACTTGACACCAATTCAATAGATGTAGAAAATAAAATTCTCACAAACTAGAAAATAAATTTTCTACATAAAATGTTTTTGGTAAAATTCCAAATATTTTTGCCTTAATGCCAAGAACAAGACAAGAACGTTTTTTGTAACATTTCCATAAACATTTTATTGGAGTCATAGCCAATACAAACATTGAAGTAGAAGTAACAGGCAGAAAGAAAAAGAAGTAAAATTGATTTGGATTGGGAAGGAGGAAATAAAATCATCATTGTTCACAGATAACAACTGTGTAGAAAATCTAAAAGATTTTAGAAATCAGTTATTAGATTTAATAGTGAATTTAGCAAGTTTAGAATACAAATTAAGTTGCATTTCTCTTTTATTTATAATTTAAAAATAAAATAAAAAATAACATCTATATTAAATACCTGGGAATAAATCTAATGAAAGATGTCCACAAATAAAAAAGTTGATAAGAGAAAGAAGGATTTAGAAACAAAGGATACATTTTGTTTATGCATAGAATACTCAATATTATAAAGATGTCTATTTATAGATTCAAAGCAATTGATTTTGGATAAACTTAAGATCTGATTTTAAAATTTACATGGAAATGCAAAGAATTAAGAAAAAAGTTAACTGTGAAGAAAGGAAATAAAAACACCCAGAGGATTTACATTACTGGAAATTAAGGCTTAAAAGCTACAATAATTAAGATTTTCTGGCATTTTTGCAAAGATAGGCAGTTGACCAGTGGAACACAGTAGAGAATCCTGAAACAGATGCATAGAGACCCTGGATTTATGATAAATGTGACTCTGCAGAGCAATTCTAAGGGATGATATTTGTAATAAATGGCATTGTAATAAATGCCATAACAAAAAAAATGTATCTTATCACCTATCCATATACAAAAGAATCAATTCCACGTGGATCATAGATATAAATGTAAATGATGAAAAATCAAAATATTTAGTAGATAAATATAGATTATTCTTAAGACCTTGGATAAGCAAATGTTTTTTAATCTTTGTTTTGGGATATATAAAGCACTAATCATATAGGATAAAGCAGACAGGATAGATGGCATTAGAATTAAGAATTTGTTTTCATTAAAGGACATCATATAGAGAGTAAAATGGCAAGCCACAGTGACAGAACGTATTTGCAATACATATAAGAATAAAAAAACTGAGATCCATATCCAAAAACTCCTACAAAACAATAAGAAAAACACAAACAACCCAGTAGAAAATCTTGAACTGACATTTTACAAAAGAACATATTTAAATGGCCAATAAACATATGGACAGACAGTCAATCCTCAATAGTTTTATTCTTTGTTATTTGTGTTTCATGTATTCTTGTAGGGACATAAGCAGCAGGGCTTGAAGGAGATTGGCAAGACATACTAGCTGGACTACTCAAAAATTATATGTATCACACACACACACACAGACGTATTTTTGGTGACCCAAAGCTTTTCTAGAATTTACCGAAAGTGTTGATGCTGTGCAGTCGTCAAATCATCAAGCCAGGGATTGGTTCTTAAAACTATTCTGTGTAGCTAGTTTCAAAATGGATAGATGGATAAATGGATTGATGGATGGATTAATCAGAAGATGGAAAGAGCCTCATTTATGGAAATTACACATAAAGCCTTCTTTATAGAGGTAATATTATCCTGCAGTCAGATAGTGGATAAATAACCAATCCTCATTATTAGGGTTGAAAATCCTGTAAAATTTATCAGGATATGTCTTGACAATACATATGACTTGTAATGAATCTTATTTTCCCTATTTATGAAAATACTAGAGGCCTGATGCATGAATTTGTGCGTGGATGGGATCTGGCTCGCCCACTCTGATGGGGGCCAATCAGGGGCTGGGCCGACTAGGCGGGGAGGGGCTGTGGGCGGTTGGCCTGCCCCACCCCCTATGGGGGGGTGAGCATGGGTGGGGCAGTTGGGGTGGCCAGGAGGTTGACTGGCTGGCTCCACCCCCGATCGGGCCAGTTGGCCGGCCACAGTGGGCATTATAGTGATGGGTCGTTCCAGCCATTCTGGTCGTTCCGGCGTTCCAATCGCTGGCTTTTTATATACATAGATTTCCCTGAAAATGTACATGTGTGTATTTGTTGATTGTTGGTATGTTGATAAATTAGATTGCTATGATTTATATTTACTAAAAACAACAAATATTTCTTGAGTACCTATTATGTGCAAGACAATGTGCCAGGGACTGGGAACACAATAATAACTAAGGCATATATTGTCCTGACTTTACAGAATTTACTCTTTTGTGAGGGGCTCGGGAAATCTCATATGTAAGTAAGATGTGTATGATAACAGGGACTATTGGAGGACATAAGAAGGTTCAGGGAATACTGCTATCAAGGAAGGGCATCTATGCTTGAAACTAGAAAATGCGTAAGACATAACCACGAGAACTAGGGGACATTCCAGGCAGAATGAATGTTGTTCAAAGGCCTCCAGAGAGACAGGACACATGGCACTTCTGAGAGCTTCCTGTAGTTGAGTCTGGCTAGGGAGCAGAGTGTGAAGGGGACAGTGGCTAGAAATAGGGAAGTGGGTGCAGATCAGCAGAGCCTTGCAGGCCAGATCCAGAGATTTGGGCTTTATCTTAAGTGCAGGAAGTAGACTTGACATGTTTTCAGTAGGATGGGGGTAATATCAGCAAGGGAGACAAGTTTGGAGGCTCTTGAAGTATTTATGATGACAAAGCAGCGGTAAAGGCAAGGAGGTGGGCATTAGCCATAATCTCTGTTAGTCCCCTCAATACATTTCAGATAAATATAAGTTTATCAGTCAGCATGAGTTCTCCAGCTCCTCTTCTAGCTATATTTATATATTTCTAGCTGCATTTCATTATTTTTGAGGCAAGAACAAATCCTTGAGTAGGGTAGTAAAAATAAAGAGACAAATTCAGGAATATATTTCTTATATGCTTAGTTGGTGGTGATTTGGAAATATAAGAACTGTATATTACTTACAGAACTGTATATTATTTGTATTTATAGGAATATATTAGGTGTGTTGAAAAATTATACAATGCCAAAGTGGAACGAGTTGACTTTACAAATGCTGTAGAAGATGCCAGATATAAAATTAATAGCTGGATTAGAAATGAGACACATGGTGAGTGCAATGCTCAATTTTTCCACAGGTCAGTTATATGTGAATGTTGAGAACTGTCAACATTACAATTGGGTGTGTTTTGTACACAGAAGGCACTGCTTTTCCTGACCCAAAGCAATGATGATTGTTATTTAAAATTGCTTTAGTATCTGTCTGTAATGTGGTGTTGAGCAATCTTAATAATGCTTTATGCTTTTAAGAAGTCTTGGCTATTGCATGATCTCATTTGATTGGAAAATAATCTTGTGAGACCAATAAATTTTATTATGGCCATTTCATAAATTAGTTATAAGTTAAGGTAGTTTACTCTGTTATCCTCAATATCTTATGCCTGGCTAGTGAACAAGATTAAGAGCAGTTTATAGGACATTGTTTAATGACCACAACATATTTCATTCTAATGATCAACCTAGCATCTTACTGTTCCTTCTTGGGCTGAAGGGTCTGATTAAAATTATGACATCCTACTGTCTAAGAAATATATTTCATATCATTGTGTTTTAAAAGGGATTCATACTTTATCTTTAATTTAAACATTATTTTTCTTTATCAAAATAGTATATGGGGCACAGGTAGTGCCTTTAAAAAAAAGTAAATCTCTTTATAGGTAAGTCTCTTTCACAACTTAACACAGAATCACAGCTAATGTTCTGCACAAAGCAAATAAGGACATTTATTCCTTGTTGTTTTGTTAATTGACTGACTCCAAAGTCAGCCATTTCTTTACCTAATGCTTGGCTTTGTTTTATCCTTTGAACAATATACATGTATTTGATGAGGCTGGCTCTGTGTTCGAAATACGAGACATGTGATTTGTACTGTTAAATGCAAACATTCAACAACGTACAATTAGTCCTGCAAACAAGAATACAGTGTCTCAATATTCTTTTAGTCATAATTCATCATTACATCAGTAGAGGGTGACTTTGACCATGAGCTACCACATGTTTCAAATATACCATTCATACATCAAGAGAAACTACACAATTACTTTTTTAATAACTGAGTGAGCTTCTATTTACTATTTAGTATTTAAAGGTATGAGATTACTAATACTTTTCTCAATTTTGACCATTTATTTATTTCTGTTCTTTCCTTTTCCATGCAAAAATACATATATAATTATTCTCATTTTGATAAGCATATGAACTCAATGTCACTTGGGGGAACACTTCAAATACTGCCAATGTTATAACAAAACCACGTAGGTTCTATCGCTCCGCATCCTCCACACACTACCAGAGCCATCCTTTTGTAAGACAAATCTGATTCATCAAAACCATTCCCTTTCTTGTCTTCCAATGAATAGTGAACAAGAATTCTCCACTGCCTTCAGGGTAATCCAAAATTCTTAGCAGACATTGAAGGCTCTTCGTTATCTGGCCCCTGCCTCCAACTTCTCCAGCTTTACTCTTCCTATGGCATCAGAATGTGTTAGGGTTGCCCCAAACACACTGCTCTCCCAGGCTTCCATGTCTGAATAAAAAGTCCTGGCTTTATGGACGTTCTCCCAGTCCACACCTTGCCCTCACCTCAGCAGGCCACCGAGCCAGAGACGAGTGCCTCTAGCCTGTGACCCAGCATACTGCGCATGTAGCTATGACACCAGGGGCCTTTATTGTGTTGGTTATTGCCTTCTCTGTTCTGGAGTGTGAGCCTAATGATGATATGGACTGTCTTTCACTGTTGTGATTCAAGCATCCAGAGCTAAATGCAAAAATCTGGTTAATGTGGAATGAAGGAAGGAGTTCGCTCTTTCGCTGGAACGTGTAAAAATTACACTTGGATGTTGTGGCCTGGTCAATTCAATAAAGGCATTTTGGTGCCTGTGAATAGGGAGGGGATCTGGGAATTATCTTCCTGGGTCAGAATCCTCTTGCTAGTATTTCTTGTTGTGTGACTCTGTACAAACTACTTAACCTCTCTCTGCCCAAGTCTCTTTGATAATTGCAGTCCCGCTTCACAGGGATTTTGTGAGGATTAAACTAAATACTGCATATACAGCATTTAAAAAATGCTTGACAGAGTAATCGCTCATAAATTATTACAATAACTATGTGATAAGAAAAATATGCTTATTTCATCTTAATTTTTTTTTAAAAAAACTTACATTAAAAAATTGACATTTTTTTCTCAATTTATTTCTCCAAAGGCAAGATCAAGAACATCATTAGTGAAGGTAGCATCAGTTCATCGGCGGTCATGGTGCTGGTGAACGCTGTGTACTTCAAAGGCAAGTGGGAGTCGGCCTTTACCAAGAGTGACACCATGCGCTGCCGTTTCAAATCTCCCCAGGTATGGGGATCTGTTTAACTTAGGAAGTATTTTGCTGATAGTATTTCTTAACAGCAATTGTGGTGTTTACATAGACAGAGGCTGGGCTCAGCAGTTCTTCACTCATTTTCTACAGTGTTAACAATATTATACAGTCAAGTACTTATAAGATAAACTTTCTATTTTCCTGCTAATGCAGGTTATAGAATACAACTGGAGGTGCTCTGTAAATTGATATTTCTTAAAATATATTTGAAATTGAGAAAAAGAATGACATACGAATTTATTTGAAAGCATTCCAGTAGGGGGCCTGTAAGAAGAAAATATGACTAAAGTCTAGGTTTTATTTTTCATGATTCTAACTGCAGGGTGCACAGAATCATTTATTATCAATGATTTTCTCCGAGTTAAGGCAAATATGTGTTTCATTTTATAAAACATAAAATTGTGTTTAATAAAGTTATGATTTTCCAAATATTGGTTATACCTGTTCCTTAATTTAATTCTCCTTGATTTAAAACAACCTTCTAAAATATATATTCTTAAAAAAAAATTTCAACCAATTTGTACATAATAACCTTAGTATAGTAGAAACATCAAAGGCCTTGGAGTCAGAAATACCGATCGGGGTCCCCACCTTGACTTATAGAAGCTGCCTTGTCTTAGCAAGTTAACCATTGCAGAGTTCCTCACAAGCGAAATACAGTGATTCCATAAAGCTCCTCTAATTTCCCTTTCAATCACCCAGTCTATTAAGCTGAGGTAGAGAAATTCAGATTTAACTTTTAAACTTAGTTTTATTTTTCAAGTGGAAAATGTAATTGAAATGTTCTTTGTACATTTCCCCACATCAGAAGTTTAAGACACAGGAGAGCTGAATGCTGGTAGAAATGAGAGGTCACTGGATGAGCAAGGAGGTGGGTGATAAAAGGCCGCCTAGGCAGAGTAGAACCACAGGAAGGGCAGGAGGAAGGCATTTGGGAGATATTTGAGAGGAAGGAGAAGGCACAAGAACAGAATAGAAAGGTAATAGGCTGACCCTCTGGCTTATTTCGGTGACTGCCCTTTGCATGGAGTGCAGCCAGCCCTGCCTTGTGTCCCTGACTACAGGGGCCTCAGACAGCCTTGAGGAGCAAGTTTACAATGCAAGTGTCTCCATGGGAACAAAGAGAGGGCACAGAAATAGTTTGAAATTTGTATGGGAAAACATAATAATGCAATAAATCCTAATAAGAATGCAGCTGTCTCTACAGACATTATCTGCATAATTGAATAGGAAGAATATTAGGCAGCACTATAATTTTAGGAACCGCTGGCATGTTAACAGAGTGTGGTGTGAGCTTTTGTTCCACACTTTCCTCCAGCACCTCCCACGTAGACTGTATTGATTAATTTCCTTCCGTGAAGACACTGTGTGCCTGTCCCCTGCACTGCTTGTGGGTTTTTGCTCCTAAAGAAGTTTTTACTTACATAAGTGTTAACATGTAATAACTGTTTAAAATAATCTTCCTGCCGATTGCATGTCCCTTATAATATAGTTATGATATAGAGCATCTGACAGACTATGGAATCTATATCACTGACATCAGTTTTGGTGAAGTGACCTCTTTGCTAAAAAGTCTTGTTTCAGTATTTCTCCAGCATGACTCAGCTGTGCGATCCTTGCCCCGGCACGGAATGTGATATTTGACTGTAACATCCAGCCCCTATTCGCACCAGGCTCAGTTCAGCTGATCTGTCTCTGTAGGCAGGTGCCTTTTCCGCTTTAATGCTTCAGGTGTGTTCTTTATGAGGTTCAAACTTTCAGTCAAAATGGATATCCTTTCCAGAGAGAAAAGGACTTTTGCTTTCAGCACAAATCATTATCTATCCTCCTCCTATAGAATTTCCTGTACTAAAGCGAGATATGACAGGCAAGATGACAACTTTGCAGAATCACAATATCATTTCAGAAAAAGGTGGTTTATGACACCTCTACAGTGTTTCCAAATCTGCAAATTATATTCCTCAAGGTTAGACCTATTGTGTTAATCTGAGTGATGTATTTTACAAAAGTTAATTTTTTTACAAGACCTCATTCTTAAATTGTGTAATTTTCATAGTACTAGGTTGCATTTTATTTCTGATGAGAGAAAAAATCTATAGCAGTCATTTTAAATTATAATGTTATTTAATAATTGTTTATTACTTATTATATAGACATTTCAGATAAAGCACTAAGTGCAAGGCAATGTTCCAAGTACTAGATACATTAACTGTCATAACCCTTACAACAATCCTTTGCAGTACAGACTATCATTATCCTTATTATTTAGAGGAGGAAATGGAAGCACAGAGAGGTGCAGTAACTTGCCCAAGGTCACACAGCTGAGGAGTTTTAAACTCAGGCAGTTAAAGTCGATGCTTTCACCATGAAGATGTGCACCAATGGTAACATGTGAGGGAAAACCTACAGGATCAACTGAACAAAAACTGAAACATTTTTTCTTTTGTACCTGGTCAATAAGTGAAACAGGTGGGCTCATTAAAATGTTTTTGTGACTTGACTTCCAGTGTCCTGGAAAAGCAGTTGCCATGATGTATCAAGAACGGATGTTCAATCTGTCTGTCATTCAGGACCCACCTATGCAAGTTCTTGAACTCAGATATCAGGGTGGCATAAGCATGTACATCATGCTGCCTCGGAGTGAAAGCCTCTCCGAAGTAAGTTACCACTCCCACTTCCACTGCTGGGGACGACTTTTAGGATGCTGGTACTTGTGTGTTCATTTATCAGTTTTAAGGTTTCAGGTTGTTGGAATGCTAGAGATTTACCCACTTATTAATTTATTTGCCAAATATTTAATGAGTACCTACCATGTGCCAAGCATTGTTATGGATGTTGAGATTGCCTTAACTCAGCTTAGCATAATTTTATTTAAACAATTGTAAAATTGGAATCCTCTCAAATCTCAGCTATGGAGGAAATAGTGCATGAGTTTCAGAGTTCTTTGCCCTTGGCCATGAAAACTGTCTTTCACGTATATTGAAATTTTGATAGAATAAGCATTTTCAGGCAGGAATGATATGATGGCGTTTTGAAGTCATAGCCCTTTGAGAATTAAAATGTATCATCTGACTTTGTGCGGCTGTGTCTCTAGGAAAAGCACAGGTTAGGAACTGCCTAGTGAGTGATATAGCAAAATCAACAGACCAGACCAGCCGGTGTGGCTAAGTAGTTGAGCATTGACCTATGAACCAAGAGGTCATGGTTCGATTCCCGATCAGGATACATGCCTGGGTTTCCGGCTCGATCCCCAGTAAAGGGCAGCTGATCAATGATTCTCTCTCATCATGGATGTTTTTATCTCTCTCTCCCTCTCCCTTTTTCTCTGAAATTCAATTATATATATATATATAGCAACAGACCAGCACAGTGCAAGGAGCAGGTGGTGGTGGCTATGTAAGCCAGGCATGGTTACTGTATCTCAGATCCCAACACTCTTTCAGCCCTTTGTCCTCTTCTCCTCATGTATTTGGCTAGTCTTCAGCCTGCAGTCCTAGAAGCTTAGATTTCATGTCCCTTCTCTGTACTTACAATTAAAAGGACTGTTTGCTGAATACCTACAATGTGCCAGATGCTTCATTTGACATGAACAACAAATGAAATTCATGAAGTTGGCGTTTTTAAATTGAAAGTGAAACAGCATGAAATATGGTATTCATATTGAATAATTTATTTGGTGATATTTATACCAATGAGATTTTAGCACATATCAATTATTTTAACTTCAAATAATCTGCAATGATAGAAAAAGTAGCCTGGATAAAACAAGCAGTAGGTAACTCAAAAGATAGATTTCTTTTTGTACTTATTGTCTGAGTTGTCTTTTTCTGTAATAGATTGCTCTAATGTGTGGATCATTAGGTGTCTAGTATTAATAACTAACTAAATCTACATAACTATATAATCCTACATTACTAAATAATAATGAGGAAGCTGGCTTTGCATTGGGCCAAATGAGAAAAACTAACATAGAATAAAAAGTTATTACAGGTTAACTTCAAACTGGATAATTTATAGAAAATTTAAATAAGACTAAATTTGCTTATAGATTTGGATTCTTGATAAGAATACAGGTAAGGATGAATAGCTGTGAAAATCTGTTTATGATTCCAGTGAGCCTGAATTTGAGAACAAATGTCCATATATGAGATCTGGAAACAATGTACATGAAAAATCTTCCCATTATAGGTCTGGAATAAGCTATGACCAGTTCTCAGGAATTAGTGAATTTAATATGTGAGTCATTTGGGGTCAGCAAGGGTGTTGGAGAGAGATGTAAGCTCCTAGCTATATAACTAAGTTTCCTAGCTATGTACTTCGGGCACATCTCCCAACATGCTCTTGAGTTTCAGTCCTCCCATGTGTCGAGTAGGAGAGTTATTTAGGATCCAAGCCTCCCTGATAGTGTGGGTGACTGTGCTGGAAGATATTGATCCCCCAGGTCCTTGAGGCTGGAGCCCTCTGCTCCTTGCCTTAGGTCCCCCCGTGGTTCCTTCCATTGGTTTACTTCTGCAAGCTATGCAAATATCATTTTCTTTGCTGCCCATCCTGAGAAAATGGTCAGGCAACACTGACTTAAATGACTACTGAGCTCCTTTCTCCCTCTGATGATCTCTGATTCCCTAGTTCCTTCACCGGACCATTGTTTCACTTTGGCTATATATGTTCATATGTAGGCAGAGAACAGAAATTCCCTGGGATACAATTAAGTCACACCTTGGCATAGCAGAGCAAATTAAGCATGTGATTTATGAGAGTGCTTGAACTATTTGTTTTAATCATTTCCTATTTCCAAAATCTCCAGGACCCATTCACATACTTACGCATAAATAGTGTCTGGGAGAGGATAATGATGAAAAGCCATATATCTTTGCAGTTGTTTTTTAGCCATGGGGTTCTAAATTGCCTTTTGAATATTCCTACAGATTGAAAACCAACTGACCTTCAAAAATCTAATGACATGGAGCAGCCCAAGAAAAATGAGGCATCAGTACGTCAAGGTGTTTATTCCTCAGTTCAAGATAGAGAAGAAATATGAAATTAAACGTTATTTACAAGCCCTTGGGCTGAGAGATATCTTCGATGAAACCAGAGCTGATTTCTCTGGCATAGCTTCAGGAGGTCGTTTATCTTTGTCAAAACTGATGCACGACTCGTACATAGAAGTTAATGAGGACGGCACAGAGGCGGCTGCTGTCTCAGAAAACACTATTGTAGAAAAGCTACTCCCTGAGTCTACCGTGTTCAGGGCTGATCACCCATTCTTATTTGTCATCAGGAAGAATGACATCATCTTGTTTAGTGGCAAAGTCTCTTGCCCTTGACAGTCCAATTGGTTTCTATTATGATAGTCCCATCGATATCAAGGAACCACCACATGTGAATAGATAAAATTTAATAGGAAGCATATGGAGCTCCCTTTAGTTCACTTTCTCTCACATTGGTCAGCAGAAGACTTTGGTGACTTGACCTTTCTCTGACACCTGGTTCATTATCCCCATCTTGCTCTTAGCATTTCTACCTCCGTCTTCCCCACCCATTTATAATTCCATTGTCTTTCTACCCACACTCATTTCTACCAGTCTACTCCATAGCCACTTGCACACAGTTCTGAGCATGGCATCTGGGAATTGTGGACATGTACTCCACTGGGAATGACAATGTAGAAGCCACCCTAGAGATCTTTTCTGAAACTCTAGTGTCCCCAATAGTCTAGTTTTATTGTACATGGTCTAGAAAATAAGCCCACCTGCTAGAAATAAGTGTGAGGGATCACTTTTCCTTGCTGACCTAAGAAGACATTAGAATTGACTTGAACATTGATGTGAAATCAGTCTCTAATCTAAAAGCAAAAAAAATATGGATTTGGGATTAGGGGCCAACCAAATTATTTCACGGATAACTTCAAGTGAATGAATGTCTTTTGGCTTTTCCTTGATAGACACTTAATATGTACATAGCTTTTTCAAATATTAAATACCTTTTAACTGTTGCCAGTTGTTATGTACAGTGTATTATTTCATATGCTGTATAGTTTACATGTGTTTTCTCTATTTATCAGAATAAAGAAAAACAACATAACTATACCGGTGTGATTGTTCTCCTATGACCAACTGTGAGACTGCCAGCAATATATTTTTTCTAGGCTGAACAAGCAAACAATGAAAAAAAGAGAATGCTTTACAAATATCTATCTGATTTCGTTAAATGTTGTTAATGTATTACACATGAAAGTTACTTTTACATCTACTTACATAGGCCGATGAGCTAATTTTAAATATGAGGACTTAAATTCATAAGGGGGAAAGATTAGTACCTGTGGATATTTATAATAGGTTATAGGTAGCTTTACACAACAGATGAAAAATAAATTGAGAATCAGTAGACCACGTTGAACTTTCTAGTAGCCTATAGCATGGCTCTGTGATGCTTCATGCTAGACCTGGCAGATACTTGACTTTCAACAAATATCATGGAATCCATGAATATGGCATGAATGAATGAATGTGACATAATTTTAAAAATGTAGAGTATCTCCTGACCAAAATAATTTTGTCATTAACCTGCCACACCTGAAATGACTATGATGTCTTTCAGAGACCTTTGCAAGGAATGAATTTAACTGGTATGCAGTGCTATGTGTTTTGGGAGAAATTGGGTTTTCTGATTAACTCCATTTCCACCCATTGCCATTCAAGTATAACATATTCCTAGACTCTGTCTTTAGGAGGACTTCAGTTCCCCATTTATAGAATTAATTTGGGAGGCTGATAGTTTTCTTCTCAAGTCTGTGACTCTTCTTTGAGTTAAATCCATAATCCCTAGAAAGGAGGAGGAAAGATAAACATTGTTGAATACTTTTTCTATTTAGAGGCTTTATTATCATCATCACATTTAACACAACAACATTGTTGTATCTGCTATTATACCTATTTAATAACTAGGTTCAGAGAAGTCAAGTTAGCTACATATATGACAAAAGGCAAAGTTCATGTTAAAACTCAAGTGTGTCTAATTTAAAAGATCTCTCTTATAAAGACGCTTGGTGGGCCACTTCAACTAATTGTCTTTCATGTTTTTTGGATTATGTGGATCCAATTAGAATAATCTGCCATAGCCAGAGAAATGTTTTTGATTGTAGGGTGACCATGCAATTTACCAGGTAGCAGGCTTACCAAACGGTTGGGCAAAAGGCAGGAAACACACACACACACACACACACACACAACCAATGGGTCAAGTGCCTCACAGACTCTGAGAAACAGGTCCTGGTCTGTAAATTTATTTCTATTTTCTATGAACTTGAACCCCACCTGACCCCATTTTTTGCCTGCTCCCCACTCCATTCCTAGTTATATGACAACAGGCAACAGAAATATACTGATGTCTTAGAGGATTTTACTTCCATGTTGATGTGAACAGAGTGATGGCTTTTCAAGCAAGTGGGAACATTTCTGGTCCCTATAAAACATCAGCCACACACCAGCCAAATTATTTAAGTTTGCTCTTCTCTGTGTAGGAATTCTTTAGGCTGCTGTACTGGAACTGCACCTATCAGCCCAGAGACATTGCATCTGGGCCTCCGGATATTGGCAAGACATTCTATAAGTTAAGTTGTCAGGAGAAAGAATTACAACTTTTCTATTTATATTCTCACTCCAACCCAGCAACTTCTAGTTTTCCTTTTCAGAAGCTCCTTTAGGAACCTCATCATATAAAATCTCCCCTTTTAGACCTCCAGGATAAAGAAGGCCTTTTCTGGAGACTTTTTGACCTTCCTAAGGTGTACAGATTGTTGAAGAAGGTCCTCCCCACTCTAACATTGTGCATGTAAGTGTATGTGTAAGGAAATATGTAAGCATTCCTCAGGAGATTTTCATGGGCCTTTCCCATACGTTTTTGTTTTAGCTGGAACTCAGGTTATTATTAGTGTAAGAATTTTACCAAAGGTAGAGAAACAGCATTTATTAATAGAGTAAGACAATAAAACTTAACCAACAATTTTGTACGTAGCCATAAGGAGGCAGATAGGCTATACACTCACTTTGTTTTCTTCTGCAGCCTACGTTCTTCATTTATTAAATAAATATGAGTGCTTTACATATTTGCTCAAAAATCTTTTTAGTGTAGCTGAAGATATTGAGTGGCAGTTACTTATGTCAATTCAACACAAAACTAGTGAAAATAACTCATATTTCATGACTTACCAGGTGTGATCTTACTGATTGCCTTCCCAAAGGTGAAATCAAGGACCTCTTGTCACCAGAAACCTCACGTCTTCTGATCAGTGCTGGTTCATGTCATCTCCTTCAGAGGGACCTGGAAGTATGCATTTCAGAAAGGACACACCAAAACTATGGCTTTCAGGTTGGATGAGGTAGTCTCATGATTTAATTTGCTTTTCTCTTAAAGGTAAACCTCAAAGTTTTTTCCCCTTAAAATCTGTTAAATTATTTCTGGCCTTTGGTAGGTAAGTTAATTTCCAAGTGGCTTTCTTTGCTACATTTCAATAAAGTGCAAGTTTGATTTTCAATACATTTAAAAGATTTATTGAACCTTAAAAAAATTCACCATAGTACTTTTTATCATATTTTGAAAAGAGAAATGCTGGGTTTTTTTTAGCACTGTAGTTGTAAAAGTGATGGGGCAGAGGCCATGCGCTCAGAAAAGTGCCTTCTTCCCGAGCCCAGGCCCCTGCTGGCCACGCCCAGGATTTAACAAGACCCGACTTGCGCCTGGCCAATCGGCAGGGCCCACAGCCGGCTCCCCTCCCCTCACTATTCTCACGGGTGGCACTCGGTTTCCGGTCGCTGCGTCGACTGGAGGCCCGGGTCGGGTTAGCTAACTCAATAAAGGACCTTCTGCTTTTGCATCGGACTGACTCCCTGGCATGGTTTCTTGGGGATCTTGAATTCTGGGCATAACAAAAGTAAAACTGATGTAAAAAATATAAGGCCTTGAAAGGCCTTACAGTAAATTTAGGCTAACCTTAAAACATTATGAGGTAATGTACTTACTGAAAACTGGAAATAAAGTAGATGATGGGGAAGAACTAATAGACACTCCTGGAATTAAGAGGCATGTCCTGAAACTAATTGAAACAATTTTAAAAATTACAAAAAATATTCAAAAAAACAACAACAAAGAGCACACCAGGCAGATCATAAAGTGGGTGTGATCTTAAGAAGTACATCAACATTGGTGAACAAGATTCATAGTCAAAATAAAAGGTCCCAGGTACACTGTCCTATCAACCTTAGTCTTCCAACTTCTTTGCTTAGTGCCTCCCAAATAGCAGGCTGCAATCAAAACAAAACATGCTATTTAACATGAAAGAATGAGTTTGTACATTATAATTAAGTCCTTTTGCTATCAAATGTATACACTTTGTCAGATGTATTACCAACAAATGTTTGAAATTATTGGTCAATTTAAAATTTGTTATAGTCAACTGTAAAAATTAGGAGAGCTTATATTTGTGAATAAATATTTTTCCTGTAAAAGAAATAGTGAATGACTTCAAGGAAAAATGTAATTCTCTAGCCAAACACATCAGTCACCTCTGGAAGTATCTAGAACTCTCTTTCAAAAGAATATTGCCATCAGATATTGAGATCATAAAACCAATAATAAAATTATATATTTTATAGCTCTTTTCTTTTTTTAATTTAAGATTCCAGGGCCACAATCCTGAAGATTCTGATTTGCAAGAAGTGCTTGCATATATGTATTTTTAAGTAGCTTCTATAGGTTTGTTCAAGGATCAGCCCAGTTGAGGGGACCACAATATTAGGAAGATGGAGTGAAAGATTTTAGCAGGATTCATAGAGATACTTGAAAGGGCAAACATACACCAAAAACAGACTTGCTAGAGAAAACAGTTAATAAACAGAATCTTTAATTTCCCAGTAAAATCTGGTCAATACAGATATCTTTAGCCATTTAATAGGCATTTGAAAGAGATAAACATAAAAAAGCGTGATAGTCATAACTAAATTTCATTAAATGGCTTCATTATGTAGAACCTGAGTTCTACATTCTTGACTTATTTGTAACTATTTTGTAATCTGCAACTCAATGCTGCAGACTGGTCAGATTTTACCTGAGCTGGAGAGATTCCTAAATTATATTCTTGAAAGAACCTATTTGACTTTTAAAAATAGTTATCCTGATAAGATCTTATGGTGCATATTTAGCTCTTTGAAGTGAATTAACTGCTTGTGGGCATCAAGAAAGGACAGTTGAACAAAAACTGAATATCCTTTGTGCTTCAATCGTTTCTTTGTTTAGGCTCCCCTCACCTTTAAATCATCACAATAATGATCGCGTATAACTCTGTGGAAAGATGAGTGGCTTTTGTTTTGATCACTCAATGTGGGCAATTTTGGAGAATGAATATAAATGTAAATTTCCTGTCTTAAATGGAAAAATAAGAAGGCATTAGCTTTGCTGTTTCATTGTGTTTAGGTTTACAGTTCCAGAGTAAAACTTTGCAGATGATGAGGCTGCAAGAACACTTGAAATTGGACTTCATAAAGTAGCCATAAAGTCCAGGTCCTTGAGATGCCTGATACAGAGGATCACCAGAGTATGGTCATGCTCCTCCCCAGGGAGGACATCCACCTGGAACAGAAAAACCACAGAGCCTTCACGGCCACAGCCACAAGAGAAGGCTCTGAGCTTGAGGATTACACATACAGAGGCTGAAGCATTAAAACCAACCGCGTACACACTACTTAATGCAGTGCTAATGTCCACTTAAAAAATGAGCAGGATCTCTAAATAAAGGACACCCATGCACTAGAGTGTGTTGCTTACACTTGTAAAAGTTTATGACTTTCAAAGCACAACCATGTACTTCCTCTTTGGGTCTTCCTGGTTGGTGGTTGTTTTATATGTTACTTACTTTGATATAAATACAATCCATTTGGATATTTTTAAGTTGAGTTGTTCAATCTAGAATTATAACTTGTGTTGTCAGAATTGGAGGATCTCAGGTTCCAAAGATTTCTTTTAATGTGACCACCAGAAAAGGGTGGACACTTATATAAAGTGTTCAGTTATTATATATAAATTAAGCA